CTTTCATCGAGCTCCTATTGCGACGTTGGCATTGGCACAAGGGCGTCTCGGGAAAAAGTGGCCCTTGGACAGACGGAATGGAAGGTTGGCCCTGGCCCACTGGTTCACTGTTGTTTGCTCTTTCTTCTTCCCCCCATCATTTTCACACGTTTTAAATTTCCTATCTCGGTACGTATGTCATTGTCCTCGGACGTCCATCTCGATAAGAACGCGCCATAGAGCGCTCAGCCAGCGGTTTGGCGGGCTGATGCCATCCTTTGAGCCTCACGGAGTTTTTTTCTTCTTCTTTTCATTTCATATTTTCTTCATTGTTCTTCTCCTCCCATTGTGTCTTTATTCGCATTTGGCAAAGTTCAACCTCTTGCTTTCGTTCGTCAGACTCTTCCTAATATGGGCCTTTCCTCGTATGGTGGTGCACTATGCACTGTCTGGAGTTAGTTCTCCTTGTTAGCTCGTCGGAGAAGGGGGGACAAGGTTCATCAAACAATAGAGGCAAAAGGCTGGGCAACCACCAAACACAAGCACATTTTTGCTTGTGGAGCACGTAAGACACGCGCCGTCTTAAACCGTTTTCTTCATAGTCGGTTTCCCACGAGTCGACAATTTTGTCCTTTTAAAATCGCTGTTGGTGTTTTGTTTTTCCTCACTTCCTGCTTTCTCATCCCCCGTCTCTTTTGAAAGCGTGAGAGCGTTGCAAGAATAGCCCTGTCGCAGCTATCAGATTTGTTAGCATTTATCCGTGCCCCACAATATGCTCAGGCCTGGTTCTACACCCGTCTTGTGTTGTTGACCCTTTTTCTCTCCGGTAAAGGCACCCAATCCAGCGTACGGGGAACCAGTCGTGCTTGCTTCCCCACAACTTCTGGCCCTAACGTTCCGACAGTACGTACTCCATACACCGTAGGTTTGTACACATGGCACCCCTCGTGCCGAAGTTTGGGTTAGGTGACCCATTTTGGCTATGCCGGATGTAGATGTCGAGAGAAAGCGAGCTGGAACAAGTTGGGATTGGAAGGAGGGAAGAAAGTCTCGGCAACGAAATCAAAAGGGAGGGAGGGGGTTACAAGAAAAATTGAAGCAAAAGAAGGAAAGAGACCAACATCCTTACCCTCACCTTTCGCTAGCTTCGAACAAGGGGCTGGCTGACTTGGGCTGAGAACGGATGGAGTTGACTCGTCTGCAACGAATCGTTTTTCGGAGACCATTATCACAAACGTGTCGAGCGCGGAGTGTTCCGTATTCTAGCTTGGTATTCGAGGGCAAGGGGTAAGGCTGGGCCGCGGTGGAGATGGGGAGATGTCGCTCGGCGGGTTGTCAAGGTTTATGAACCGTTCCTAACATTTGTTGTCATCCATCTTTTTGAGTGCAAGATAGACATTCCGAGCTACAGCTCACCTTGTGCTGGAGCAACCTAGCAATCTTATCACCTGGGTTCATGTCGTGTCACGGTGAGGATGGCGTAAGGATGTCTCAAATAAGCGTGGGTTGGTGCGCAACAAGACAGAACACGAAACTGAACGTAGGGTGGGTGAGAGCAGAGAAAGGGAAGGGCGGGAAGGAGATGCATGAGCCAAATTGCGACTTTGTCAATAGTAGCTCGTTCTCGGCAGGTGCCACCGCGCACACCTTCCTTAATTCTTGTTCTTTTCGGACGGAACTTGCCTTTGCCTGGTGCCTTCCCTACCCCTTGGTTTGGGACATCTAGGCCTTGCCTAGGTTGGGCAAGTCTGGCACCTAAGTTGCACACCACTGTTCATGTTTCCGCAGAGACCTCTGGTCCCCGAACTGTGTGCCTCATTGCTTTTTCTGTCCTCCGGCCGTCACTGCCAGGTGAGTGCCAAGTCACAATCCGTAATTCTAGCAGAGTTGGAGCTCGTTTTTATTTATTATTTTTGGGCTTAATTCAGGGTTAGGAGGTGCGACTGGCAGTGTTAGCAAAACCTCTCCAGTGCTCCTTCCCCCTCACCTAATAACCACACCCTCTTCCTTCAAATCAGCAACTGCAGTTCCAAGTCTCCATTGTTCGTTCCTGCCTTGATAACTGCTTTTGCATCCACACTCTTCCCAGCCCCTTCCTTTGCTTTCACAATTTTTTTCTTCTTAATTCTCACCACCTTCTCCTTTTTTCACATTGCGAAATAACAACATACGACGTACGTCGTACTCTCACGCAACTGCACACACTCTTTCTCGTCTCAACTTGCCTCATACACCTTAATACCACATCGTGGCGATCAATCTACCGGCCTGATCCCGACACGGTTTTACCAGTTGTATGTTGTTGACTTGGACCTGTCATTCTGCTCTCTGTATTGTTTCCTACTTTCATCTTTTCATCGTCTTACTTCCTCCTCCACAGACCATTCGAATTATCTCTTTTTCAATTCGACCCGTCGAGCTTGGCCGCTTCCGTATTGCAACGTCACGGTCTGGTCCAGCGTCGATCTCGCCAGCTCCCGTAAGGCGAAGACTAGCCTCACGTCCGCTTTTTTTTCTTTTTTTTTTTCTTTATTTATATAAACACCAAAATCTTTCGGCCAAGAGAAGATCCAAACCAAAGCCACAACCCCTCCATTCTGACTTTTGCGGCGTTAGACTTCTCCGCCGACAAAGGGCAACAAAGCCGCCGTCCAAACTTTGCACAAGTGTTCCCTTCTGCTCCATTTCTGCTCCATCCAGATACGACAGTGTCTTTTGGGAATACTACCCAACCTCGACACTAGGCAGGGATAGATACCAAGGCTCCCGTTCCAGTACTCCGTACACACTCCCAGAAAGCCATCCTATCCCCATTTGCTGGATTGGCCGGGACACGAACCAGATTTTCAACTTGCTGAAAGTCGACGAAGCTTCCATTGAGAGGTTACCGAGCGCGCCACTTTTCCAGCAACGCTTCTAGCGGTACACTTTTTATTTTCTTTATTGCTTACAACTTGATTCCAGCTTGTTCTGGTTTAGCCGTTTCCTCTTTCTTCGCCGACTTGCTGTGTGTGGATCAAGTTGCAGAGTTGCTTCTTCCCTCCAACTGTCTTTGGAACTGGACTCACACCCTTCTTCTCTGGTTTGT